AGAAGGAAGAGAGACAGAAGAAGAAGTAAAGGAGGGGTAAGTTAGAGCTGGATATGTTGATGAAACCATGGCTGAGGCACTCCGTAATGAGCAATCAAAAGGACCTGACATGAAGTGGATCAAAATCACCCAGTAAAGGAGTTGAATGGGAATATAAACATACAGGTATTTGTTGGTCCAATCCTGACTGAAAGCATCGACAGCCAGAGCAGGAGGAAACCGGAGACCAAACAGAAGTTTATGGTTGAGGGATGTGGCAAATGCATCGATATAAGGAGTACCTCACTGAAGGCAAAGCCATTGGAAAACCATAGGGTTAAGAGACCACTCTGTCAGATAGATTCTCTCTCTGGACAGGAAAAATGATCTGCAATAAGATTGAAAGCACTGGAACATGACAAATGATATGAATATCCTGCACGTGGGCCCAGAAAATAATATCAAATATGTGAAAACATTGGGATTGAAAACGAGTACCACCATGGTGATTGATATAAGCAAAAACTGTGGAACTGTCAGAATGAATCATTACCAGACTGTCTGGCCAGATGGACGAAATGACCTAAGGCCTGACAGACAGCGACAAGCTCCAAAGTGTTCATATGATAAGACTTCTTGGCCACAAGCCAACACCCTGAAGCCTCCTGTTGCTCAACCCACACACCCCATCCCTGGAAGCATCTGTGAAAATATGTAATTTCGGATGAGTAAGACGGACACTCATCAATGTGTGAGTCCTGTCCAACCACCAATGCAGATAGGAGTATGGGTAATAAGACCTGCAAATTATCCCATGCAAGATTCCACTAGTCTTGAAGAGCTTGCATATGAGCACGACCTAAGATGATAAGTGTGGCCATGGAAAACCACATCCCCAAATGCAATAGCACTTCACAAGCTGTAAGAGAGGGAGCAGTAAGAGCATGATGAACTGAAAGTTCTACTGAAAGAAGTTGAAGAGGAAAAGGTTAGGCCCGACTGAGATGGGTGGTTGAAAAAAGCATCCACATGGATCAGAAATTGAGTAGGTCAAAGGAAAGACTTCTCCAATTTGATTAACCATCCCAAATGAGTTGCCTCCAGGAGCTGTAGATGAAGAGTATGACAGGCAGACTCCTGTTCAGAATGAGTTAACAGTAGCCAGTCATCCATATAATAATGCAAATGCATCCCGAGAATATGAAGATGATCAAAAGCTCAAACCACCCAACAAAAAACATATGAGGCCAAAGCAAACCTAAAGAGAAGTGCATGAAACTGATAAATAACCCCTCGAAGGACAAACTGAAGATATGGTCACAACTGCTGAGCTATCGGTGTCTGTAAGTAAACATATATATATATGGTGTCCATCCACATCATCCATAACCCTGGAGAAAAAGCTCACCTGAGGGTGAGAAACAATTCCATGGTAAAATGAGGGAGATTAAGAAATTGATTGAGGTGTGACAAATCTATGACAGGCTGCCAGTCTCCTGTTTTCAAACAGCCTGGAATAAAAATCAGTAGAAATATGATTCACAGGTTTGATGGCCTGTTGAGATACTGGCTGGAAATGGGATCCCGAGGCAGAAGGAAGGAAATGAGTATCTGTGACAAAGGAGGAGGGGAAAGGAATTGTAGGACAAGTCCATCTCAGTGAACTCGAATAACCAAGGGGAATATCGCCAAGGAGAACAAAGTCACACAATCAAGTTCCCACCAGACCAGAACCCACCAGGTAGTCACCAGTACTGTTGGCGTCATGTTGATCTACGTTGAATAAAATGACAGGAACCCCTGGAAGAAGGAACAGGTAAGGACAGGAAACAAGAATAGGGGCTTGTCGTGATTCTGACTGCGAGAAACGAGCTACCAAAGAAGAAAGAGTAGAGTGTTGACACAGGGATTCCACTTATGATTACAAAGTGTCCAGGATATAGTCAAAAACATACCACCTAAGAAAATGGGCTATATGTAATTCCCTGAGATAAGTGGGTGGCAAACAAACCTGTTACAAGGCCACATCATAACTCAGAAAATCCCAACAGCAGAGAAACTACATGTTCAAGGCAAGAGCCAAGGATGACAAATGAGCCAACATGAATGTAATAAAAGAGAGGCTGTCCCTCAAAAAACCATCAGGATTTTGGTGCATAGCCTCTGAAAGGAGATGTATGGTAGATAAATACCATAAAAGGGAAGTAAGGCTAAACGCTCCAGAAAATCAGGGAGTGCCCCCCCCCCCAAACTGGCAAAGTGGACTCCAACAACTGAGAGTCTAGTAGTCTACATGATGGTATACCAAAGCAAACTGATCTATAGTCCGTGGGGGCAAGGCATGCTGCCACCCTCAGCCAATTGGGGAGAAAAATGAGCAAGAGCTCTAATATCAAGAAAAGGTGGGGAAACTAAATAAGGAGGAGAAAAACTAATGTGCAACAAAGGAAGACGACGATCATGAGAAATCGGGAAAAGGGATAAAACATCACATGCCTGAGAAATAATATCTAAAAACGCCGTATTAGGCCTAACTAATTCCACAGGTGGGGCATAGGAAGATAAAGCAAAATCCAGTGATGGAAAAAGGTTATCAAAATCTTCATCAGAACGAGCAGGTTTGGATTGTTCATGAGGAATTGGGGCAACTTCAGGAAAAGGTGGCTGGCCCATATAACAATCAATCTCCCGAGCAAATAATCACAGGTAAATCCAACGATGGGTCACCTCCAGTGAAAAAGTGCTTCTAGTTAACCTTGAAATTCATGGTAAATAATAAATCAAACAATTTGTTTGAGAGAAAAAATAAAAAATAAAGACTAGAAAGTAAATTGAAAATAAATCTGTCAGTTGTATAAAACAAAAACAATTAAAAAACACTTCAAAAATACAACTCATTAACTGTTAAAGTTACAATAATGAAGCTCACAAGAGCAAAATTCGAAACCTCTATACGTGAGTTATGCCAAACAAGAAGAGATAAGTTGGTAGAATTGAATAGAGGGAGTCACATGCTTAACACAAGTGTGTGGTACTCTCATTGGTGGAGGGTTATCACATGATGATTTACATGAGAAACACATTGGAATGAGTCGTTTCTAATGGAGGAGAGGCAAAAGGCTTGTGGCATGCATAATTTTTTTTATCAATATAAAGGGCAGCATTGAACCAGAATAGCTAATTATATGTGAAGAGATAATATGCTGTATCAGAAATTATAGTGCTATATAGGCCTTTATATTCAGAAGTTGTATCTAATGTATATAATATCTGTATTTAAAGATCTAACATTATAAAGAATAAAACCCTGTTAACCCAGTAGCCTAGACACATTAGACTGAGTGGTAATGGTGTTTGGGGCAAAAAAAGAATCAGTTTCAGTTTTTGCCAACATAAGATTGTTTCATTATAACCCATGTTCAAGTGACAAGCATTCACTCTCAATATAGAAAATATTTGCAAAACTGTCAAAATAACAACAATGTTCCAATTGACAGATAAAACCTTTGTGGACCGCTTTAAGTCTAAACTCGATAATAAAAAAAATGTTTGTTTTTTCTTGTTGTTGTTGAGGGATTAAAAATTATTCAGTGTTGACCCCCCCCCCCCGTCGCCCTATCAATGCATAGTGAATACAGATAACCTACCAGGCACCTAATACTGTATATTTAAACTGTCATGAAGTTATATTTATCAAATTATTTATACACAATATTAAAAAATTATTAATGATTATTGACATAGAAATTTCAAACATAATAAATGTAGGACTTTCCAGGCATGCAATGTTAATTCTATGTCTATGACACAAAATGTTACAGATGACCTACCTTCAATATCATGTACCATACAACCCATGGAAGAACTTGGAGCCTTTGTTGAGATGTTTTATAGACACTTTTGAATGTCTTTGAATGATTGCAGTAACATCCCCCATTGAAATATTGCGTACAGCAGCTAAATTAATTGTCAATCCAGGATCCTTCAGGCCTTTGTTTGAAGTCGCAATTGTGTGTTTACAATAGGCCTATACGTGATGCATTAAAAGCCTCATTTCAATTTTTTTTAGAATGAGGCGTGAATAGAGAAAATAGACAAGTATACTTAATTGCAATTATGCTTCACCAGCTTGGAAAAGGCATTCACACCATAAGTTAATTGCTATTATTCTAATGTTTGGAGTATTAAAAACAAAATAGATGAGTTCAGAGCTCCACTTGAAATGGAAGACTATGATATAACTCCATGTTATAAAGTATTTAATAATCATAGGCTTTTAAAAAGGATGTATGGAGAAAAACAGTAAGGAAAAATGATTCATTGAAATGATTCAGAATCATTTTCTCTACTAAATGGTCAGAGTTCCAACTATGGGGGAAGGCAATTTAGATTTACTGTTAAATAGTGACAACAATACAATTGAAGCAGGGAAACTTTTGAAAAAAAAGCAATCATTGCATAATTAGGTTTGGTTTTCTGCAACTTATTGAGATAAAAAGAAATGTAATTTTAAGTTCCTAATTTTCAGAAAGACAATTTTGAGGCCATGAGATATCATTACCAAATAGTAATAATGATTTAAATGGTAATGTAAAACAAATTTGGGAAATTAAGAAAATAAAATTCCTTTAATTCAAGAGAGACATGTTCCTAAAAAGAAGAAAAGGATAACAAGAAAGATCATATCTAATTAGGTTAGAAATGACATAAAAGAGAAAATTATGGATAAATGTCAAAGTTTAAGAAGTATAAAGTGATGAATAGATTGGAAAGTTTACAGAACAATAAAAAGATAGAGATTTGGTTAAGAAAGAAATTAGGATACCCAAGAGGGCTTATAAGAAACAATTGATAATGTTAAAACTAAAATCAAGGATTTTTTAAACTTAAAGGTAAGCGTGTGTTTGTGTGTGTGTGTTTTTCTTACAGCAAAGCCACATCAGGCTATCAGCTGTGTCCACCAAGGGAAATCGAACCCCTGATTTTAGCATTGTAAATCTGTGGATTTACCGCTGTCCCAGCAGGGGACAAAAGGTAAGCAAAATGTAATAATGGGGATTAGGTATTTAAAGAATGCTGATGGCAATGTTTCTGTTGAAGAGCTCAGATAGCTAAGCTTCTAAGTGTTTTTATCTCTTCTTTTCTTACATGAGAAGGCATTAGCAATATTTCTGACCCTAAGCATTCTATGGAAAATATTGGAATTAATGTGAATATTGTTTTTAAGTAGAATGAATAAGGGATTAAAAATGGATAAAGCTCCAGGACTAGACAAGGTTTTCCCAGTGGTTTTAAAAAAGGTCAAATATTGCATATGCAAGCCTTTTTGGTAGGTCAATAGACAGTGAGCAGGTGTCTGAAGACTGGAATTACTAATATTACCCCTATTCCTAAAAGGGGTGATAAGAGTTGTCCTGGAAATTATAGATCAGTTAGTCTTACTTCTTTAGTGGAACAAATTCTATGGTATATGCTAAAAGAAGCTTTACAAAAGCATTTAGTGAAATATATCATACAAGAATGCAAACATAGTTTCAACAAAGGGAAATCTTGTCTTACTAATTTGCTAGCTCTCTCAAGATTATTACTTGTTACCTGGATTATTGAAAGGGTGTGGAGTTGGCATTCTTAGAATTTAAAAAGTTTTTAGTAATGTGCTACATAAAAGATCAGCTACAAAAATACACAGGTAGTGATTAGGAAAAAGATAAGTTAATTAGATTGTAGAGTAGTTAAAAAGGATAAGGTAAATGTTGTTATTAATGGAGTGAGTCTAATCAAACTGAATCATTGTTACTAAAGTGCCTCAGGAGTGCTTGACCCTTTGCTTTTTTTCTTTTTTGCATTAATATTGATAGTGGCATAATTAGTAAATTATTAGAATTATCTAATAACATTAAACTCTTATGTATTTACAACTATACTGAGGATGTTGAGGTATTACATAATGACCTGGATCAACTGCAAAGTTGGACAATTATTTGAAAAATGACCCTTACTTATATTAAACACATTGGTTATCAAAATTCCAACCACACAGATGGAAAACAACTCAACAGCACAGATTCATATAAGTCACTCAAGCCATTGAAGCAATGCTCTAGTGCTGGTAGTAAAGTTAACAGAACCTTAGAGTGTACTTATAAACATATTGATAAGTCAAAATCAGGTATCATCTCTACAGTCACAAAAAGCTGGAATTCCACAATGAACAGGTGGAGGGCCTGTAGGAAGATGATATCCCTTGAGGAAGTGCCTAAAGGAAAACCATGGAGTGTAAGAAGGAAGTAAAAACAACACACAAGTGGGAAACCACACCACTTCTGAGCCAGATATACTCATCGCCTGTTAGTAATGTGTCGATAAAAGGGTAGAAACAAAGGAAGGACTCCAAAAAAGTTACAGAAATAATGGGACCCCCTCTATATAGAGTGACAGACCATAGAGGGAAGTTCAACCTACCTCAACCAATACCTGGTGGCATTTAGAATTGTATGTACATCAGTTCCACAGTAGGAAAAGGATCCTTTACCATTCACCTCAAGAACAGGTACCGGAAGGGAAGAGGAGCTTCCATACCAGAAACCTGCCTCTGGAGGAGTGCACCTCCTACACAGTTAACACCAGATCCACCAGAAGCCATCCTCCGATGGATGAAAAGAAATTGGAGGGCCCAGGTGGGTGTTCATCCTCAGTCCAAAACCTGGTAGCATTGAGAAATTTTTTGTCCAGTCTGCAGTAGGAGAAGGGTAACCAACCTTACATCTGTGGGAATTTATGTGTCTCATCCAGCTACAACCAACACCAGATCCATCAGGAACCACCATACAGTGGATGGTGTACATCTCCAGTCCAAAATTTGGCAAAATTGGGAATTTATTGTCCAGTCGAAGAAAGCAGGAGGGTAACCATCCAAACACATGTGAGGACTTATGTGGCTGGTCCAGTTCCAACCAACACCTGATCTCTGGAAACCAACATCCAACAGATAGTAGGAAAGATGGTGCCTCAGATAGAAGGGCAAACTGAAATATGTAGCAGAATGATACATCCAACACCTAGCAGCATCTAGAATTATACATCAGGTCCATGATAGGAAGGGCATCGCACCATCTGCATTGGCAGAATGCCACCTCCCTACTCTCATATGAGTGCACACTCAGGAGGACAGGCCTCCACAGTTCACCACCCCAGCAGCTAGGAACTTGGTAAGTGACAAGTACTCCCATCTTCCATTAGGTGAAAAAAGTGCACTGGAGAGTCTGGAAGACCACAGCACCAGAGACACTGCAATTGGTGACCTCAATAATCTATATTGAAAAGCAGAGTGATCATATTGATGGTGTCGATCAACAAACATCTGGCGTCGTCTGAAATTGTACATCAGGCCACGATAAGAAGAGCCTCAAATGCTGTGGATCATCAAAGATGGGCAGTAATCCCTGTCTGTTTTACTCATGTTAGTCTATGATTGTATAGTCCAGGACAAACATATTTAAGAAGCAAAAGGCTGCAAGGTATACCTATGGCTTGTTATGAATTTTTCACAAAGCTATGCAAGGGATATCTGTGCTATCATCCCTAATTTAATAGTGTAAGACTAGAGGGAAGGTAGCTAGTCATCATCATCCACCACCAACTCTTGGGCTACTCTTTTACCAACGAATAGTGGGATTGACCGCACATTAGAACGCCCCCACAGCTGAAAGGGTGAACATATATGGTGGGACGGGGATTCGAACCCGCGACCCTCAGATTGCGAGTCAAGTGCCCTAACCACTTGGCCATGCCGGGCCGATGGGAGTTGTTTTATTGTGTAGTCGTGTTCTGCTTCTGTTGTTATGTTATTGTGTTGAGTGCCCTGAGTAAAATGTGGTGTATATATACTACGAATGGTTGTGATATAATTAATTACTATATTCATGAAGTGGTTGTTCATGTTTTTTTGAAGTTATTCTTTAAAAACTGTGCTTTCTGTTTATTCGTGTATGCTAGTTTATTGTTATGTTTAACTGTATGATAGGTAGTGATAGTTGTTTTCTTTGACTTTGTAGCTTTTTTTATATGGAACCACAAATCTTTGGGATCTGTTTTTGAATTTATTTGTGTAAAGAAGGTGTCCCATTTTTGTAGCTTAATGTCGTTTCTGAGCGTGTTTATTTACGTTTTTGTTTGTAGGTCACCGGTTATCATATATTATCTTTTTAATCTTCTTCGTTCCTTTATTTTGTTGATTATGTCAGTGTTCAGTTGCCATTTGGTTTAGGTATTGTTTATTGATATTTTTGGTATACATCTGTCTGCTGTTTTTATGAGGCGTATATGTATATGTGAACATATACACAGGTCTAGTATATCACTGGAGTGATATGTGTTACTGGTATGTGTTGGTGTTGTATCGTTTAGTAGGTAGGTATCTGAATCTTCCATAAATGATAGTAAATGTGTTTCATTAGCATTTGTGGTTCTGCAACCGAAAATTGTGTTTCTGCTATTGAAGTCGTCTATGATAATATATTTGTTGTTGTGGGAGATTATGTTTAGTAGTGTAGTGTCTTGATTGTTTTGTGGTGAGCAATATATACCTGCTATTGTGGCTGGTTATTGCTTAGAAGTACATCTATTTTAATATTTTCATTTTTTGACGTTAAGTGTATTGTGTTTATAAATATATATTTTTTTCTTTTATAGGACTAGTATTCCCCGTTTTGAGGATTTCCTGTTTGGTCTGTCTATTCTTTCTACTTGGTATCCTGTCATGTTGAAGGAATGGTAGTTGTAGAACATTGTTTCGGTGATAAATATGATATCGAAAACCATGATCGATATCATACAGAAGTGCCGAAAATTCCCGCGCCTATGGGCACGAGCCCCGAATCTTTTAAGCACATAACTCTTCATATTTAGTATTTAGAATAACTATCTTATTTACTCTTCTTAATTTTACTACATCTATTAAAACTTGGGTGAACATTAATGATTTGCTGACACTGATTTAATATATCATACAGCACAATACTTATTGTTATGTTTTTTCTTCTAAAATACTAAATTAGCGACATCTCGTGAATATATCATGGATCAACTGGTCACAATCAGTTTGAAGGGAAATTACATTAGTTTGAACAAGATAGAATAAGTTGTTAAAAACGACTGAATTTCATACAAGTTGCAGTAATATAAATTATAATAAAAATGAACGATGTTATAAATTCTATAGCAGCAAATAAACAACACCGGCTTGCTGTAACCTGGGATTTTATATCTCAACCGAGGTTGAGTGAGTGTAGGACTGGTGCTACTACTAGTACTCTTAAATCATAAATGGCAATACATTGATACAGGGGAGAATAATGCTATTAGTAAATAACACTGCTAAATTAGGGACGGCTAGCGCAGATGGCCCTCGTGTAACTTTGCGCGGAATTCAAAACAAACAAATGTTCATCACAGTAGCAGAAGTACAAGAAAACATAACACTTTTAAAAAAGCACCAAGACAAGACAGAATTCCAAACGTATTACTCAAAAAAGTCCTTCTGAGATTATTAGAACATCTCACATCTTTATACAACTTATCTCTAAAAACAGGATACATGCCAGCTGCTCAGAAACAGGCAGATGTTCTTATGTTCCAGAAGGAAGGAAAATCAGCGAATAACCCAGGAAATTACAGGCCCATAAGTCTAACAAGCAATCTAGGAAAATTACTTGAAAAAAACCATAAATAGTAGACTCATAAATTACCTTGAAATTAAATCAATACTCCCGGAAATACAAGATGGGTTCCGAAAAGCAAGCCAAACAACAGATCATCTCGTAAGATTAACGGAAGAAATAATACACGGCTTTAATGAAACAAACAATGTACAGTCGCATGCTTCCTAGATGTTGAAAAAGCATTCGATAAAGTATGACACAACGAACTCACATAAAAACTGTCCAAACTGGAACTCTCTATACAAATTATTCGCTGGGTTTCTAACTTCCTGGAAGATAGGAACATCAGAGTGAATGTTGAGGGCACCTATTCCGAGTACTACACCCCTTAAGCGGGTGTCTCTCAGGAGGAGTACTTAGCCCTACACTATTTATCATGTGTGTTAGCGACATGCCCTTCAAAGACCCAAACCACACTTTTTTGCTCACAGTTCGGAGATAATGTTGCAATCTGGAAGAGTGCCCCAAACCCAACAACAGTGACATACAATTTACAACCACTACTACACGAAATAGAATTGTACTGCAATAAGCGGAGAATTAACATAAATGCGCACAAAACACAAGTCATATTATTTACAAAATCGTACAAAACAAGCAAATTAATAACACAGTTATACATAGACGGAACTCTCTTACAGGTAACAACATCAGCAAAATTCGTAGGGATTACATTTGACACAAACTGGATACCACACAATTAATAACATAAAAACCAGAATTTGGAAAAGAGCGAGTTACCTTAAGAGCCTAACTGGCAACAAACAAAGAACTTTACCAGAAAACATATTAAAAATGTACAGAACATACATAAGACCGGTCGTAGAATATTCCTGTTTAACATGGATACATGTATCAAAAACACACATCAACAAACTACAGCAAATACAAAACAATATTTCAACAATCAACAAACTCAGAATTTATACATAACTATTCAAACATACCAACTCTATCAGACAGACTCCTGGATAACTCGCTTCAGTATTATAAGTAAAGTAGTAATAAAAATGAACTGATGAGTAAATTAGAGCTAAATAATACATGATAAACCAAGCCCTAAGTACCTCTCCCTTCTAAACATCATAAATAAGAATTTTACAGGCCAAACAGTGCTAGACTAACTGAATACTAGACACAAACGTAGCTTTTTTTTAAATCGTTTTGTATGTAAAAATAGGATAATGTGTGTGTGTATATGACTGCTAAATGAAACTGTGTTGTGAACACGGACTAATAGTCTGATCATATGTAAGTGAACGTAGTGAAAATATACGAGTTATTATTATCCCATGAATTGGATATGGCACTAAAAGGGCATGTTAATTAAAACTGCGGACAATGAACAAACTGTAACATACTGTGAGTAATGCAACAACAACAACGTAACAAGGGTTATTACCTAGG